ACATTGTAATTTAATTCTATCTTCTTCCTAGCACGAAGTGAAAAATAGCTGTGTTTTATTAAAGTCACACTACAATTCAATTTATAAACATTTAAATAGAAAGATAAGAGTTAATTAGAAAAATGATAGAAATATGTATTTGAATAGGGTGCAGGGATTGATAGCATTTCTCCATTACTGGCAATTCCTGAGCTGGTTGTAAGCAATTGGACAGAGTGCAATTATGATGCCTATAAGCTGAGGGTATGTATGGGTTTTAAAAAAAGAAAATCCTTGTGTATTTGGATTATTTGAGGGAAAAGTTGGGAAAAGTTGTTAGCAAATTTTAAAAGCAAAATTGATTGCATTGTTATATATCCATGCTGTCCGATGGGTCTAGAGTCGATTACAGTTTATATACAGTAGCAAAAAGTGTATATTTCAGAACACACAAGAAAATTATTGTTGTTTGTTGATAACTAAACTAAACTAAAACTAAAAGAGCAGGCTTTCCAAAAACAGAGTTGAAAGGCTTTGTAAGAAATGAATTAGAAATAATTATAATGTCATTTAGTAAACTACAGAATGATGAAAACTATCATCCTAATAGGAATTTTGGATTTTTTTTTTTAAATGGCCAACTAGTTTGCTTTTTGTTTAAGACATAACCTATAAACTGAAGAGCAATTTCTCTCTATTCATACATCCAGGAAATAATATTCTTTGAACATAAATTAGCATTCCTTCTTATTCATTATAAAAGCAAAGTTGAGCTATCCCAATAGTGTTTATATTCTACTGGATGTAGGTTTCAGGATGTAGGTTGCTATTTTTTCTAACAAAATGTACACGTGCATTGCATGATATATAAAAAGTACTTTTTTTGAAAGAAAAGGTATTATAAATATTTATCAGGAGGAGGCATGCTTTCAAAGTGACTTGAAGAAAATACTTTGAACTTTCTATGAGTGCCAACACTGCTATACGTTAAAGCAGCCTATCCCTTTTCAGACAAATCTGAAAAAGATACTATTGTTTTAAGAGTCACTTGAGTCATCGCTGTAAAACAGTCACCTCTTTTTTCCAGGTGATTTCATTAGGAGTGCTGCTTCTGTATTATGTTCAGAGCATGCCCAGCCATAATAATTTAGAATTTCAAAGGTTGTATTGGCTTAGTTTTAAACAAGTTTTCAATGTGGAGTCTTTCTGGCAAAGAGAGAAAAAAAAAACCCAGCACATCTAAGAAATACAACTTTCTAGTGTTGCCAACTTTGCAACTTAGCCATACAGACAGGGCAAAGTTAGGACATTAACACAATCTATAAAAATAATAGCATTCCGAATCTTCTTTGGTACCAAATTCTCTTCCAAGAGACAAATAAAAAGAAACAATGTTTTATATTATTGAAATCCCCTTCAATATTTATTATTAGAAAGAACATTATTTTTGTCATGAAATCAAAGCAATATATAGCAGGATGCCCAGTTCAGCTGCATTCGAAGAACTTGCACATCAGCTAAACACACCTAGCGTGTGCCTTTGCCTAATATATTTACTTGTGGATAAACCAAGAATTCTAGGTGCCAAAATGTACCCCAAAAATTGAGTTTCGCTTAGCCATGAATGAGCATCCTCACAAAGTAAACATGGTAATAAATACCCATATTTTCCTTAAATATTCATGTATAAGCCCATCCCCATTAAGCAGTCCCTTGAACTTTTAACTAAAATATCATAAAAAATGTGGATCAGCTTATCTGCCAGATACATTTTTCACAATATTTTGTTTAAAAATTCAAGGGCAGTTTATCCACAGACAACAGTCCTAAGCTTGGCCACTTTTAGTTTCAGTTACATTTTTTTTATACTTACTATGTTGTACAAACCCAACAATATTTGGCTAGTTTATGCTTTGATATATTGTCTGAATCCAGAAAATGGGTTAATTCAGAATCCAAGTTAAGCATGTGTGGGAATGCAGCTTCTATCTTCTTCACACCACCCAGACCAATGATATATTGATATTTCAGACCTACCCTAAAATCAAATTTATATGCTGTTGTAAAACTGCTCTCAATTCTAGAGGCACAGAATACAGCTACACTGATTTAAAACATAACAGTGATTGTATGGCACCAGACCTTTATACTAATATCCAATGTCAACATACGGAATGAGTCTAGTGTGTGTGATTTTCCTTCTCCTAACTCCATGTATACAATGTGTTTGTAAAAGCTTTCTGAAACATCTGTTTTGGAGCAGAAAAAGTACGATTGGTCTGTAACACTTAAAAAACTGTATCTGTATTTAACATTTGAAAAAACTTGATTGCAAATATTCCTTCGTTCTTTTAATGATTGTAGCCCTCCTAGAGAATTTTTTTCTTTAGTTGTAGTCAACGGCCAATTTTGTTTCCAAAAATTTCTCCCCAATTATTTTTTTTTCTCTTATCTTGTAGAAACCTTGCATTGTTGCCAGGTTACAAAAATCTGTTTTCCTGTCTGCCTCTTTGATGGTTCAGTAATTCTCTGCTACATTTACTGCCAAACAACCACCGAATACCTACCCCTATTTAACAATCCTGAATGTCAAAGGACTTTGCACAGAATGAAAGATTTTTGAATTTTGCATTAAGATTTTTTCTTCTTCTTAAGGCATAATCTTAGTAGCCATGGGTGTCTTTTCTGGGCCTGGAAACTAAACAGGGTTGGGCCTGGCTAGAATTTAAATAGGAAATCTCTAGGAAATACCAGAGTGTTAGTAGGCTAGTTGAAAGTTGAAAAACATCCCCAAAGGGAGCAGTGGCCAGCCACTTCAGGTCTGTTGTTAAGAAAACTGCATGGCCACGTTGATGGTCACCAGAAGTCAAGCCTGACATGAAAAAAAAGGCTTTACTCTTTTTACTCATAACTTTTAACTTGGCTTTCATTTTTGACATAATGTAAAGAGTTTCTCATTTGGGCAAATCAGTCTTTTTTAAAAACAAACAAACAAACAAACATTGATCAATATGATAAGGGCTGTTTGTTTTTTCAAATTCCTATAACGCTTTGAGCAAATCCAGCAATTTGTTTGACAGTACAAACCCAACTTGTATGATGTATTTTAATCAAATGTTTTCATAATCAGATTTTAATTTGAAGAGCCTTGACAAAGAACATATTCCAGGCATTTGGGGCTTCACCACTTCTGTTTTGATCCTCAGCGTTGTCAGAAACATCAGCCCCTCTGTGAGGCCCTAGAGCTGCCTTTCCCATTTCAGCACCCCCAGAAGTGTAAGCTTCCTAAATTCCTAGCCAGTATGCTCAATGTAGATTCTCCTGTGTTTACAACAGACCTGAAAGTGCTGGAACCAGAAGTCTGCATGGATCCACAGGGAATAGGCACAGGGCCATGACTGAACTTATTTGTGTCAAATGTTGGGATGCAAGCAATGGTGTCACCTGGGTGGCAATATTACTGTATGCATGTCATTCTTTCATAGCACTATAGTTTGGCATACATGCGGCTGTGCATGTGTGATCTAAATCTACATTAGATTTTCTATCTGCAAGTGAATTCTACCAATAAATCAGCATATACAGACAATTCACTCAGATTCCGACGTGGGCAACTGATCCCTTATGACTACTTTATAACTCTATCGATTACCTTCCATCAAACTAGCAAGCTATAAAGAAAGTGGAAGTCCAGCCTACAAATTTTGCAGTACCATAATGGTATCTTTTTTTACATCATATTGCATATGTGTTCTTATGTATTAAATTGATTTTGATACTTCCTAATAAACAGCACAATGAAAAAAGAATTATAGAAATAAGGAGACTCTGTGGAGACTCTAGAAAGAGTACAGAGAAGGGCAACAAAGATGATTAGGGGACTGGAGGCTAAAACATAAAAAGAACAATTGCTGGAATTGGGTATGTCTAGTTTAATGAAGAGAAGGACGAAGGGTGACATGATAGCAATGTTCCAATATCTCAGGGGTTGCCACAAAGAAGAAGCTATTCTCCAGAGCACCTGAAGGCAGGACAAGAAGCAACAGATGGAAACTAATCAATGAGAGAACCAACCTAGAATTAAGGAGAAATTTCCTGGTTAGAACAATTAATCAGTGGAACAACCTGCCTCCAGAAGTTGTGAATGCTTCAACACTGAAAATTTTTAAGAAGAGACTGGACAACCATTTGTCAGAAATGGCATAGGGTTGCCTGCCTGAGCAGGGGGTTGGACTAGATGACCTCCAAGGTCCCTTCCAACTCTATTATTATTATTATTATTATTATTATTATTATTATTATTATTATTGACTATTGAGAAAATTGACTGAATTTGAAAATCGTCTAATTCATAATATTTATTTAGGAACAATTTATATGTGAAATATAGATAAGTAACTGGATAAGTAAAAGACTATATGATGCTATAAGTCAAGGACATGCTATGCTATGTCCTTGACTTACGACTACAATTGGGACCAGAATTTCCATTGCTAAGTAAGGCAGTTGTTCAGTTCGTTGTGCCCAAATTTAACTTTTTTACCATGTTGTTAAGCCAAAGAACACTCCCACCAAGTCATTAGTATATAAACAGAAAGCAAACCTGTCTGCCTTTTAGCACTGATGATGTTATCTAGTTGAGTAATGAAATGTCTGCAAGAAAACAGCCAAGCTCAGAGAGCACTAAGGACTCCGCATAGGTATTATTTATAACATTTTTCCAATATATTGCTTTTTATTTAGAATTTTTCTTTCTTTTCTTTTCCTTCTATTAATTTCAATTGTGTTAACCAAATGTTTTTAAGTTCTCTTTGGGAACTGCTTTCTGAAATTCCAACAAGCAAAGCACAATACAATGCACCAGGATATTAAAGCCTTTTATTGCAACCTTTACTATTTTGATGATCTTCAGTTGTCTATTTGTGTTCCACTAGTACCCTTAAATTATGACACCAAGGCATGGAGGCAAAATGGCCAAAGGTAGTGGTACAGTTGAAGGTGATATTGTAGAACCAACTTACCTTCACATTGTTCCAGACTATCAGCTCTTTTCCATGATCTTGAGTGTGACCTGGGCTGCTTACATAGAGAGGAAGAGATTTTCCCCAACCGTATTCAGGAAGAAGAAGGCTTTTGTCTTTAGGAGATGAGTCAGAATTCTGGAAAGAAAAGGAGCACAAAGGTATATCAAGGTGTAAGTTTTTCCTCCAAAGTCATATTTGATGGAATTTGGAATTTTTAAATACTGTCCGGACATACTTAAAATTAACTTCTGAGTCCATTATTCAAAAATACTTTTCAATATGTCCAATGTTAATGTATTCGTTCTGTCTTTGTAAGTTTAAGTTTTCTTTTCTTTTAATCTTTAGTTCCTTCTGGTTCCCTCTAGTGTCCAACCTTCAGAGTCCTATCCTGTCATGTTTTTTTTTTAAAAAAAAAAAAATTCAAAACACAAGCATTTCCCCATGGGATTCTTTCTTTCACACTTTGGCTGTTTGCATTATTTTTAAGAAATGTTTTGTCCTAAACTTATACTTAAAACATCTTTTGCTGAGGACTGAAGAATATTCACTCAGTGTTCAAATTTATCAAATCAAAGCTTCTTATTATCTGAAAAGCAATTAACAAGCCATTTCAAAAAGTGTTTAGAAAAGGAAATATGCAAGCCCAATGTCCTTTTAAAGCAGTGGTTCTCAACCTTTTTAATGCCGCGACCCCCCAACCGGTCGTAAGTTGAGGACTACTCGACCTGTCGTAAGTCGAGGACTACTCAACTGGTGCAGCACTGTTTGCAGAATGGGAATTTTGGCGGGCTCAGCAGGGCAGAGACAGCCTGGACAATTCCTATTGGCTTTTGAAAGCCAATAGAATTAGACTCTATTCAAGAGAGTCTATTGTATTGGCTTTCAAAAGCCAATAGAATAAAAGGGAGTAGCACAGCTAAGGAAAAGGTGGAAAAAAATGGCGGACTGCGTTGTTTGGCGACCTCCGTGAAATGGTCGTTCAACCCCAAATGGGGTCCCGACCCACAGGTTGAGAACCACTGTTTTAAAGTCACTGACTGTATTTTGAGCAAGACTGCTATTTCCTCATCTCCCAGAGCTCTAAACCCACCAAAGACTGCTGTCTTGCAGTCTCCTCAAAAGGACCAACTTTCTAGAGCACTTGAGGGCAATCTCAGGTCCTCTCCTTGTCTGGAGAGCAAATATGATGAGCTAGTTTTCATACTCAGTAGCTCTTCATTCTACCACAGTGGTCATCAGTTTGCCATTTCTTCCTCGGAAGTCCCTCATTTTTCACAATTTTTGTTATTTTAGTATGTGGTTATATTTACCGGTATTTTAGAACAGGGGTGTCAAGCTGCCAGCCTGCAGGCCAGATGCATCATGGTGAAACCACACCCACTCCATTGCTGGCAATGGAAAAAAAATAGTGATACATCGCAACACATCCCGTGATGTTGTGAGTTTAGAACGTGTCTGTTCTCTGTTTTATATTTGTACTTAATCCAAATAATCTTTGGCACCATATTTTAAAATAAATATGACTTATGGTGGAGCTTCCCATCAAGATGTAAAGTTGTATAGTTGCTATCCTTTGTTCTGTTTATGCAAACTCTAGATCCCAGAAGTATGAATAAGAATGAGAACATATAATTTATCCATAAACTTCATGACAATAGCACAATGTTTTCTAGAAATTAAGAAAGTTACAATAGCTAGTTACAGTAATATTTAGCAAATGTTCAGTCAAAGTATAGTAAATTATATAGTAGAACACAATAGTGTTGAACTTGGAAGACTCTAAACAATTTAGACTGAGAACAGTTAATTTAAAGAATGGAAGATGATGGATTCCTATTATTATCTCTTATAAATATATGAGTGGTGAGAATGAGGATAGGTTTAACAGTAGGAGAGCAACAAAAACCGATTTTGGAAAACAAGCTAATTTCACTGCAGAGAATATTATTTCCATGAATAATTATCAACACCTGTGAATATTCCTGTTCTTTATAGAGTGCTTTGTGGGAAAAGATGCCTGATTTTCTGTAAATATACCAAGATACCTGCAGCTCATGAAGGGAGCAATTTTGCAATCTCCTCTGAGCAAAGTATCAAATTGGATAAACAAATGTTCTAGAAAAGTACTTGGATTGCTTTCCCAATGGAAGTAGTGTGACTGTAGAAAAATGACTGGCACGGCTCTCCAGAATTCCCACCAAGGTGAAAAGTCTTACTCAGAGTTCTGTTTTCAGAGTGTATAATTGGAGGTATATCACTGGAGGTACTCCATTTGTGTGCTAATGCAGGGGTCTTCAAACTCGGCACGCACGGACTTCAACTCACAGAATTCCTCAGCCAGCATGACTGGCTGAGGAATTTTGGGAGTTGAAGTCCATGAGTCATAAAAGGACCGAGTTTGAAGACCCCTGTGCTAATGGATAACAGAAGCAATCTCCTTCCCCATAGTGTGTTGATGAAAAGGAAAAGGAATGTGAAAAGCAGAGGAAGGAGACAGCAAAGACACGCCTCACAGTGACAACTTGGGCCACTGCTAATTGAGATCAAAAGAAATTTTGTTCCTGATTAAGTGACACTCAGTTTTCAAAAGAATGACAGAGATCAAAGGCGGTTGCAGTCTTATTGTTCTTCTGGGCCCCTCATAACTACAGTGTTTGGATATATATCAAATGAAAGGGATGATAGACTAAATTGGCCTTTGCTTTCATTCATCAGAGATGTTTGAAAAAAATCTGAACATTATTCAAAAAAAGGAAAAATCTGAACATTATATTAATGTCCACTTTCATAATTAGAATAATAACAGGATAGGCAAGTTTCCTTAAAAATTCAAATGTATAAGTTTTAATTCCATTTTTTCACATGTATATCTTAGTACTCTTGAATGATCCATCCAATCAGATGAAATGTCGAACAGCATGATTTTGTGATGCTAACATTTTATCAGGGACCACATATACACACTGTAGTTTAACACTTTCATATTATTGAAATCCGTTGCTTTCCATCAGAGTTAACACTCACTTTTTTATTGATCTTTCCATCAGATTTCCATCATTTCCATCATTATCAGGCATATTAATAATTGTGTATAATTTGCAAAGACATTCTCAGTTTTGAACACTGGATATACTCTATCCAGTGGGTATTTTATAATAATTGATCGTTTGTCCAGCCCTGACAATTTGGTCAGCTAGCTGTTATCATCTGGTTAAATATTACTTTTTACTAAAACCTTTAATTTGTTAGAACTGTTAACAAAAGGAAATGAACACCTTTTACTAAATTAAAGTTTTTGCAGTTTTAATGCTAATCAATCAATAGAATGAAAATACGTTCACTATTATGACATCACCAAATTCTTTCCTCCCTGGAATCGAAAATTGGAAATACCCATTTAATGAATTAAACAAACAGAACTATGCCTCCAATACTCTATTATGAACTGCATTATAAAACAAATAAGGTTTTCTACAGTAAGAATTGCTGAGATTTTATCTATAGTAATGTATGTTACTGTAATATAATCTATCTCCACCAGGTGGCAACCCCTCCCTTTTCAGAAAAACAACGCAATTTACTGATTTATTGCCAACAGTTTCTATACCAAGTGTGAGGGAACTTTAGGCACACACAATTTATTCTTTGTTTCCTTTGAGATGCTCCTATGGAATCCAATTACAATATAAAGGCTGAACAGGTAGAGCTGAAGAACAAAATGCCTCTTGGCAATGTTCTAAGAGTTTGTTTTCAGTACAGGTAGTCCCTGATTTATGTCCACAATTGGGGCCCAAAACTTACGTTCCTAAGCAAGACAGTTGATAAGTGAGTTTTGTCCCATTTTACAACCTTTTTTTGCCACAGTTGTTAAGTGCATCATTGCAATTGTCAAGTTAGTAACACATTTATTAAGTGAATCTGGCTTCCCCATTGACTTTGCTTGTCAGTAGGTTGCAAAAGACACTGCAACCATCGTAAATATGAGCCAGTTGCCAAACGTCCAAATTTGATCAAATACTGATGCTAAACGTTTGGCTTGATTGTAGATTACAAGTTTTTAACACTGAATCTAAATGGAGCAAATGATCCTCAAAAGAGAAAAAAAATCATGATTTTAAAACATTAAAACAAAATATAATTTGCCTGTAAGTATCACATACATTGTTATTTGAAAAAAGGGCATAACTATTTCATTTATCACATTTATTTCATCAGGAACAAAAAAGAAAAAGAAAAGAAATGGAGTTGTTTTCTACATTAATTCCAAACTGAAACCAGAACTTGTGTTGACTGATGACCATGGTAGATTTATTGGAGTGGATGTTAATTTACTTGGGACTAAAACACTGATACTGGGAATCTATGCCCCAAGAAAAAGTACTGCTCTGTAAAGGATTTATGGAAAGACTAATAAGTTTCTTATGAAAATTGGAGCTTGATGGGGGATTGGAACAGAGTGATCTCCCCACAACTGACCCAAGTTCTAAGAAAAATATTAAAGTCACTTAAGGCAAGTTACTAAAAGATTTCTTTTATTTGATGGACATTTTAGGGCTAGTGAACCTACGAAGACAGAAAAATGGCAATTCAAGAGGCTATATTTTCTTTTCTAAAAGACATAGATCCTTTTCAACACTAAATATGATGTGGATTTCAAAGAATTTTAGCTACCAAGGTTTTTAAAATAGAGATCTTACCAAAGACTTTTTCAGGTCATACTCCTATAAGTTTGGTTTGTAAAAGGAAATCCAGTTCTTTTATATGAGACAGAAAAGCAGAAAAGAAATTGAAAGACTTTTTTGAAAATAACATAAACAAAGTACTGACTTAAGAATGAGTTGAGGCACAAGAAAACCTTTTATCAAAAGTTATTTTGTAGGGAACTCAAAAAGAACAGGCAAGAGAAAACACAAGCTATTTTGATTGAGATAAAAAGAATTAAAGAAATTTCTAGAGAAAATAAGTATTTCTCAACAAATTAAGCTTTTACCTTGATAGTTATGTAGGTTAGCAATTATAGAAATGGAAGAACTATGTAAAGGAATAAACAATGAGGTTGCTAAACAAATGGTTGGCATATAAATTAAGAAAGGAAAAGGAAAATAAAATTATATTGACGCAGCAAGAGGGGGACA